TTATGCTCTCTGTATTTTAGAACAGACATAGACAAGATAGAATAGCAACTTCAAAAATTATATTCCAACCATTGGTCATTAATCATTGGTTTCCTTACCATTTAGAACTTCGAAATGCAGACGAGATGTCGCGACTTGTATATGTGACGAGGTCACAGACTACATGTACTGTGCAGCTGTTACTTTTGAATCTTACGTCACAGACGAGGTATACGAATAGACCAAGCATCTTACGGGATTTCGTGGCTCGTGACCTGAAATACCGACATAAAAAATCACTGGTTTTTTAGCGCACTCTACGTTTAAATAACGTTGAGTTGGGGAACTAGTGAATGCGCCAGCATTTGATTTTTTGTTCATTAAAGTGTTGTTAAACTTTCAATATCGAAATGTAAAGCTCGTCTGTGACTATACCAAGTAAAACGATACAAGCAAAATACGAAATTAGTATCCAAAATTATTCTATTATGTACTTATGTGTGTGTCAGAGAAAGCCCTATTCGTGTTTTACGAATTTATAGATTGGTTTTTCGTTAGAAATGATAAAATTATTACTTATAACGGAATGTTTTATTTATTTAATTAACGGAATGTTTTATTTTATTTATTTATTTAAATATACTTAGGGAAATATATTGAGAACGGACCTGATATTAATTAAAAAGGAGACGACATAAAAAAGATCTATCATTTTACCAAATCATACTTTAAAATATCTATCATGTTTTAAAATATCAATCATGTGTTAAAATATCTATCAAAATCTAAAGTCCACGATCTTCCACAATATTTACAAATGCACTATACGTTATCATTAAAAAATTCAATTCATAATTTTAGAAATCAACGATCTCTCTAATAATTCAACAAATTCTTTAATTACATAAAAAAACTAAATCGTGCTTGCAGCCGATTAGATCATATTATTTGTTATAGTATTCATAATTGTATTGTAGGAATGCAATTAGTAATTATATCACAAATAACAATGATTGCCCTGGTTGAGATTGCTACGTATCGAAACCCTTGTCCCATTAATCCTTCTTCCACTTCAAAACAAATTTATTCAATAAAAAAAAAATGAAACTCCTTTTGATATGTGATTGCAAAATGTTCACAAATTCTTATCATTGTGCAAACGAACGACAAAAAGAGTTTTAAGGAAAAATCGATAAAAAGTAAAGCAAAACACAATATATTAAAATACAAATCAAAGTACAAATTGAAAATAATTATAATTAAGTTATAATATATAAAATACTTTACACATTTAAAGAAAAAATAAAATTTCATCAACATTGTTTCGCAATGACAGTATCATCCTATGCTAATGTGTTAACATTGAATTTACAACTGTCTTATGATTAACTAATCTAAGCGCACGCAACTTAAAGCTAAGACGCACACAATGTCCCTACGACATCCCCCGTCGTCCCACGGTGTTCAGCTGGGAGGTCTGATATTTTATTTATCAACTAATTCTTCATACAGTTCAGTATAGATCGTGAAATAAGGAAAGGTAAAAAATATGCACGATCTAGACTGAACCGTAGGTTGCGTAGTTCTGAACCGTAGTTGCGTAGCTTGATATCGTTTTACAAACATTAAAGATTGTCGTTTATCGTTTTACAATTTAACTTCATAATGTTTTACAACTTTAATGTTTCTAAAACGATATCGATTACCAGGTCTCACCACGAGGAGGTGACTACGCACGAGACCCGCCCCGGGGCAATACATCCATCCATACATGCAATACATCCATCCATACATACTATCATACAAAACATAAAATGCATACGATCATACAATACATACAACGTATACAATCATACAACCATACAGTACATACAATAATTCGCAGCCCTACCACCGCATTCTGTACAAAGACACGTTTACTGAACTTGAGACGAAATTAGGATTCCCTCATCTCCTCTCTTCCTTCGTTCGTTGTTGCTATTGCTACTTTGT